CCAAACAGGGAGGTACTACCACCTGGGAAGATATTGGAAGCATAATGTGTTGTCTAATGGTAGACCCTGCTGCCATATGGCATCACGAAAATTGTGACCAAGTCCCAGGTTGCTGATCTGACTTTCTGCCTCATTTACACGCAATTGCAGGGTCTCAATTGTTTCTCTTACTATTGACAACACAACATACATATATCGTTTCTCACTTTTGATCTTTTTTTCATTTTTGTATTTATAGTTCTATATTATTACTATTATTACTATTACAGTTACTGTATTATTATCATCATTATTTTATTATTTAATTTTTGTTTGTTTTATCATAAATTGTATTTATTATGAATTATTATGACTATTATTTATTATTATTATTATTATTATTATTATTATTATTATTATTATTATTATTATTATTATTATTATTATTATTATTATTATTATTTTATTATTATTATTTTATTATTATTATTACATTTTCGCCCCCCAGGCCCCGGTGTGAGTCAGTGACCTGTGTCCGGGTGGGCTAATCCCCATAAAAAAAAAAAAAAAGTTTGACCTGTGTAGCCCTCCCGACCATCGTAGGTAAGTGTTAACCTTGGACCTATGAAGGATGGTCTTCACTGGATCTGTAGGTGGACCAATGGGTCAAAATTTAATAGGATATCCAATATAGATTAATATATAAAATGGTTAAATATACAAATAAAAAGGCGTCGCCATTTAGTGATACTACCCGGTGACGTCACTATTCATACTCCAGTGACTCAACAACCCCAGGACATCGCTAAAGCTCTCCATATATTGATCACTTTCGCCAGAGAGTGGCCGGGACTGATGAAAGTGTTGGTAAAAGGGGTTTTCATGGTCACCCTGATTACTCTGTATAACTTCGCCAGTGGTGATAAGCAGATAACAAGATCATTTACCTCCCGGAATAAAGTTATCGTTAAAGTAAGCGGTGATGTGTGTCTGGCATTGTTATTTATGATATTAGAAATTTAAATGATTAAAATAAGTTTTTGGTTGTACAATATTTGGAATCTTAGAAGACTAAAATCCTCCGCATATTTCAGCTGATGATTAACCTAATGTTAGCCCAACTAAACATGACCTATTCTTACCAGACACTTTTATATTAGCAATAGACTGTTTAATCATCAGGCGAAATAAGCAGAGGTTCCTAATCTTCGTGATATCCCTTATATGTTATATAACTTATACGTAAGAAAAATTGCGTTATAAAAAGATTTACTATAATTATTAGATCCAAGCGAAACAAATATACAATAATGGAATATCAGAAATAAATGAAGGTCAATTTGTTTGTAATTTAACAAAGAAAAACAAATTTATGCACTATGACCTAATACTAATACAATATAAAAATGTGTAGAGAAGAAATAATTTCCAGTACATACAGACTTCCTATAAAATAATCATCGTAACTTTTAATACAATATTATTTCTAAGAATGTTGGAGTGATAACATGGAATTGGGCAATGTGGTGTTGTGGATGATATGTGGTGTTGTGGATGATATGTAGTGGTGTGGATGATATGTAGTGGTGTGGATGATATGTAGTGGTGTGGATGATATGTAGTGGTGTGGATGATATGTAGTGGTGTGGATGATATGTAGTGGTGTGGATGATATGTAGTGGGGTGGATGATATGTGGTAGTGGATGATATGTAGTGTTGTGGATGATATGTAGTGGTGTGGATGATATGTAGTGTTGTGGATGATATGTAGTGGTGTGGATGATATGTAGTGGTGTGGATGATATGTAGTGGTGTGGATGATATGTAGTGGGGTGGATGATATATATATATATATATATATATATATATATATATATATATATATATATATATATATATATATATATATATATATATATATATATATATATATATATATATATATATATATATATATATATATATATATATATATATATATATATATATATATATATATATATGTGTGTGTGTGTGTGTGTGTGTGTGATGTGTTTATGTAGCTGATGTGATAGTGTTGGTGAGCGGAACAAAGGTTGTTTAATATATTGTAACCTGTTGGTGTGGCATAAAATTTTACGAGTAATTTATCTGGCAAATATCGCGACACTAATATTTTGGTAAAAAAAAATGTTCTCGAACATATGAATTGCCTAGCGTTTCATTTATTTGTATCCTTATACAATCAACACAATTTTCCTTTAAAGGCATCAGTCCTAGAATTTGCATAACATACCTATGATAAATATAATTCATGACAGCAAACGGTTAATCGGGGCATTATATAAGGGGAGCTCAGGCTCTCAACTGGCTCAGCCATGTCAATATTTTTATTATTATCGACTCTGTATCTGCATTTTTTGGCTAAATAAACTGTTTCAATGTCAATAACAAAGTTAACTTGCAATTCTCCAATAACATTTTGTCCCGGCATCATTCGTAACCTTGTCAGTGCTCGTACTTTTTACATACAACTAACGCACCAAATAATTTTTGTGGTAATTCTATATTACAGTATTATTAAATCTTAAAATACAAAAGATATTAAACATACTCACATGATATTTGTTCTTTGTGTTTTAATAACTTATATGTTTTAAAGTAAACAATACTCGACTATCTTACTGCAAAAAGGGAAGACGATGTTGTAGGTCCTCGATACTTTAGCATACACGTACATTTTCAGCGAACGATAGAGCCGGAGAGGATATTGCTCGTTTAAATATATATGGGTACAATTACCATCTGATTTCATCTGTCAAGCCCCCTGGTGTAACAACAGCAACACAATACTGAAGTCTTCATTCAGTCAATGTTGACAAATAGTGAAAAGATAAATTAAATGTTAAAGTTCAAGCTTTCTCGTTCATATCACTACTCACAGTACGGCAGCTATATAAGGAAAGAATTAATTTTCGACAATACATTTTGTGAGATGAAAAGAGAAGAATATACCATTCGCTGTTCACTCAGTCCTCATAGTCAAATGCAAGATTATTTTTGGTATGGATGAATGGAATCAACGCTCTATTTTTTTCTTTTCAATTCAATATTTATTCCTTGATAGAGGAAGCGGGACCCTAGTGCTGTCACTAGGTATTGATCAACGCTCTTACTTACTTTTCCCTTTATCTTCTTCACCACTGATCGGCTCGTTAGCCGCTTGGGTGACCGGTCATTTCTCTGTTACTTTTCATGTCTATGTCACGCACTGTTGGCAAGTGCTAGGCACGCTAGTCTTGTTAGCTTTCACCGAGGGTGCCTAGTCGAAGTTTGGAGTTAGATACAGTATTAAATTTTTTTAAATGAATTGGAAATAGCTTTTACTTGCCACCAAACCACATCCAGTAACATATAGCAAACTTTACAGATATTCATGGGTGCTTCTCGCGTGCGGTCTACAAGATGTTTAGGTTAAGTTAGCTTAGGTTAGGTTAAGTCCGGTTAGGATCTTTTTTTTTACAGATTCCTCCGGAGGGGGCTAGTTTATTGGGCACCCCCTTACATCCTGTGCAAGGTGAAGCGCAGAAGCGTTTACAGCGCCCAACAGGGAAGCATGCGGAGTTCATGCTTGCCTTTATGACTCATGCATTAAGGGAGTAAAAGGCCTGAAGGGTCATGGGTTTTGTCAGCAAGTTACATAAAGTGACAATGATGAGTGTGTGGGGGGAAAATTCCCGGTACAATTTATCTGTTGATGGCAAAGTGTGGCAGGTCCCTAATAATGTCAAGTGCCTGTCACTAGGAGGAGGGATATCTGGTCAGGGAGGGAAGAGGTGCCACCCCTGTAGGGGGAGGTCATAGGGCAAATGAGGACGTGGTGAAGGAGGGTGTGAGAGTCTGTTGACCACAAATTTTACAAACAGTGAGGCCAGGCTCAGGGTTGCCAATGTACTAGGCATGGCGAAATACAGTGGGGGTGGAGGTGATATGGTGTGGTGAGGCAGGTACAGTAGGGGTGGGGGGGGGGAGGTTATATCAGGTCAAGCTAGGTTACGTAAGGTTAGATTAGGTTTGGCTAGGTCAGTTTTTTTCTTTAAAGGGATTAGCCCACCCGGGCACAGATCACTGACTCACACCGGGGCCTGGGGGACGAAAATGTAATAATAATAATAATAATAATAATAATAATAATAATAATAATAATAATAATAATTAGTTCATAGTAAATAAAAAAAATGAATAAATAAATAAAATAATAATAACAATGACACTGATAATAATAATAATAATAAAGAAATATATATTTTTAAAAAAGATCAATAGCGAGAAGCGATACATGTATGTTGTATTCCCAAAGTAAGAGAAACAATTGAGACACTGCAATTGTGTGTAAATGTGGCAGAAAGTCAGATCAGCAACCTGGGACTTGATAGCTGCCTACTACCTACTACCTACTCTTTAGGTTTGACAAAAGATACCTTTGTAGATCGCACACTATAGAAGAACCCATTCATGTACCTTTTTTTTAAATTTATATGTTTAATATTTGCCTTATTGCCCACGCAACACGAATTAATCATTATGTTGTATCCTCTTCACCGCTGATCGGCTCGTTAGCCGCTGGGCGATCGGTCACGTCTCTGTTACGCACTAACTGGAGTAATCCCATGATGTCGACGAAATTATTTACTTATTCCTCTCTTTTTTGGCTGTGTTGAAACAATTCATAGATGGGGTTGGGGGTCCAGTCAACATGATACCCCGTTATTATAGGAGAATATGTAATATACACAGGTAAATCATTGTAAACAATATTCACTGCTAACTACCATTCGTGGTGGTCCGGGATACCTCTTATTATTTACTATGTGTGTCTATACCCTTGTTTGGCTGTATGCCTTATACATGGTCGCAGATACTGGACTTAATTTATCTTAAACATAAATAAAAATTCAATTCCGTTTAGGATGACCGGCACTGCCTCTCTAAGCCATCGTTTGTACAGACCGTTATCGTACCATGTTGAGCTTCATACTAAAAGCTCTAAGAAACAAATCTGGAAAGAGAAAATATCAAATGGTGCCGTCCACCTTGCAACAGTAGGAAATAAGGGACATGTTATGGACAGAAATGTAGGCATTATTTTAAAATATTACGAAATTTTTTGACTTTAGTTGTTACTAGAGGGTAAATTGTGAATAAGTTACTTGTGTGTTTCCTTTGTTATAGAGAATCTGGCACAAGTCCTTCATGTTAACACTGAACGGTGTGGCATCAAGACATCACTAGGGGAGAAGCCAAGATGTCATGCAATTATGCTGAAGGACTCAGTAAATATGAAAACAAAGGAAAACTTGGATTGCCAGAGGTAAATATTTGGAGAATATTTTGCTTTTGGGATGGACAACAAATATATTCTTCACCATTTTGAATGGCTCACTGCAAAACTTCCTCAAAAATATCATAGTAAAAAAGGCACAGTCAATCGACATTCAGCATCAGATTATAAGCCAAATTCCACTATACTGTATTGTGTGTATAGAGCAGTGAACCAGTCCATGTTATGTGATAGGACTAAGGACGAGACACTTATTTCTCAATGTTTTTGTAGTCTACATAGTTACTATTTTAATAGATTAGAATGCAACATTTTTAGTGGATATAACTCATACTGGTGTATTTTAATGGGTAGAATGCAAATAAGAGAAAAACAGGCAGAGGTTATTTGACCGGGTTCGAATTTGAAACTAAGTACTCACCTAACCTAACTCAGCTAGCTATAACACATGGTCCGACTAATTACCCAAATGTACCCAAATGTAGCAAAATGTAGCCGCAATGAAGTCAAATAATGGTCCTATATGAATAAATCGGACTGCTAATCACTTCTCGACTAGTATTTGGTGTCACAAAGTCACAAAAAATTGGAAAACTTACTTTAATCTGAGTTATTAAATCGCGTGCATGTACCGAGGGAGCGAGTAATTACCCAAATGTAGCCAAATGTAGTCGCAATGAAGTCAAATGATGGTCGTACAAGCGTAAATCGGGCTGTGAATCACTTCTCGATTATTATTGTGTCACAAAGTCACAAAAAATTGGAAAACTTACTTTAATCTGAGTTATTAAATCGCGTGCATGTACCGAGGGAGCGAGTAATTACCCAAATGTACCCAAATGTAGCCGCAATGAAGTCAAATAATGGTTCTACATGAATAAATCGGGCTGTGAATCACTTCTCGATTATTATTGTGTCATAAAGTCACAAAAAATTGGTAAACTTAATTTAATCTGAGTTGTGTTAGGTTAGGTTAGGTACAAGCACTTGATCTATTAACTCAGATTAAATTAAGTTTACCAATTTTTTGTGACTTCGTGACACCAAATACCAGTCGAGAAGTGATTGGCAGTCCGAGTTATTCATTTAGGACCATTATTTGACTTCATTGCGGCTACATTTGGGTACATTTGGGTAATTACTCGCTCCCTCGGTACATGCATGCGATCTATTAAATCAAATTAAATTACGTTTTCCAATTTTTTTTTACTTTGTGACACCAAATACTAGTCGAGAAGTGATTGGTAACCCGATTTATTCATGTAGGACCATTATTTGACTTCATTGCGGCTACATTTGGGTACATTTGGGTAATTAGTTGGACCCATAACACAGAATATTCAGGGGGTCACAAGACCAGTATATTCTTACAGAACAAATTTTAGATCAAGAAATGATGACTCCAAGAAACATAATCACTAGTGTAATGCCCACAGCCATCCTGACCATAATCCCATTAAAACCATACACAATCCCCGTGGGTCCCGGTCAAATAGCCGATGGTTATTCGGCTGGGAATCCCGGTCAAATCACCTCTTTGATGAAAATAAATTTGCTTAATGGTTACAAAAGTTGTGTACCAAAACTAGTCATACTGTAACTCCCAGTAATTAATGTCAACGTGGCTGTTACCATTTATGTTTTACACGAGTTTATAATTGATGCCAGCCAATGTTCACTCTTCTCACATTACACAATTACCAGTCTTTATTATGTGATGATGGATTAGATTAGGTTTGTTTTTCTCTTCCATTTCTAGTTTGGAAAAATCATGTATCTCTTATAACACTTTTCCAAGTCCTCTTGCTTGAGACACTGAAGAACCATCCTTCTCTTCACAATATAGGGCATGCAGTACTGATGACCTGATAATGCAAAAGTTTAGGAATAGATTCACAGCCACTCACTTTAAAGAACAAGCTAAGATGGCCAACTCTTCCAGAACTCTTTAGTACAGTAGCAACCCCATTGGTGAAAATTTCCTTTACACTCAAATCTAGGCTAAGGCACAACGATATAAAACTGTGTCCACTTTGGATTTATTTTTTACAGTACCCTTACTGGATATCTAATTACTGTACTGTATATACAGTTTTTACTCATGTTTATAAATAAAGTATTTGAATTTGTATTGTTACTTTTGCAACAGAAATTTGATCCTCCTGAGGAGATAGAGAGGAAAGTACAAGTCCTGGCTGAGTGGATAAAAGAGTCCACACACACAGTCTTTCACACTGGGGCTGGCATTAGCACTTCTGCTGGTATACCAGATTTCAGGTGAGTACCAAAGTGTATGCTGCTTTTATCACACTGATGGTGGTGTTGGTTATAATTTAGCCTGTTTTATCATGTTCAGTACTTTGCCATAACGAGTTTGTTAGTTTTCCAAAAGAAGTGAAAGTAAATAAATAGGAGTTGAGACAAAAGCTGCATCTGAAAAGTCAATGTGCAAAATGTCTGAATCTACTTGTATACCATTGAGTGGTGAGAATCGGATCATTTTCAATCATGGGGATATTTAGACTTCTTCCCCCTCATTTATTTTTTGAGTCTAGTTATAAAGAATTATTTTTTGAGTCTAGCTATAAAGAATGAAGCGTCTTCTATCATGGCTAATATGTATAAGAAAACCTGTGCCTGGGTGGGCTAATTCCTTTAAAAAAAAAAAAAAATTAAAATTTGGCATTTGATGGGAGCAAACAGTGAAATGACATGACACGAGTGGAGTTTTTTGTTACTGTGGCATTAGCACAGCTGGGGCATAGTGTACCATCTCTGATTGCCTTGTTCTTTAATTGGGATTTTTTCATTGGAGGTTGATGCTTTATGATTATATCACTAAAATTCCTTCCATGGTTAATTGAGGCTAACTAACCTATCTTTATTATTGTATACCTGTATTTCCGTTACATATTTAGGTTATATTTTCTTGACATTACCATCTGAGCATCTTTTATATTTCTTTTTAAATTGTCAATGATAAATCTGTTCCACATCAGTTACCTAAATCCCTACCTACTCATTTTCTCATTTGTGATATGTGTATGTTAGCGGATGTTAACTTATTCAATACAGTATACTAGAATACTGTAACATTTGAGATAGTTTTGGAATTTAAAACACATCCATTATGATTTACTACCAAGATGTACCAGTAATATATGTGAAATTTCATCCTGAATAATATTTTTGTAAACTGCAACAAACTATGAAACTTTTACTAACTACTGTATATGGTTTTAACATCTCTAACTTCTGCTTAGGGGTCCGAAAGGTGTTTGGACATTAGAAAAGGAAGGATTAAAACCTGACATAAATATATCCTGGGATGATGCTAGGCCAACATTGACCCACATGGCCATTGTGGCTTTAGAGCGTAATGGTGAGTACGAAGTAAATTTGTGATTAAACTGTGCCTTGTACTGTGATAGACTTTCTGATGAGTACAGTCTTGTTACTGGGCCAAATACTCTCTGTTTAAGTCTCTTCAATTTAAATGGATAGAGTGAGTTGTTAAGGTTTGTAAGTTTTGGTTTTATGTGTTTTAAGTGGAAGAAGGGATTAAAGATGAAATTTAATTTGATTAATTGACTTAGCCTCAAAGTGGAAGACGAAGCATTTTAGTATATATCCTGAGTATATGTTGAGAAAACATTTGTAAGTTTTGTAAGGACTTTCATATTTTATGAACCAACTTATGTAAATGAAAACATAATTACCGTAAGTACAAAATAATAGTTTACAATACTGTAGTTCTGTAATTATTTTTTTATTAAGTAAATTAATGCAGTAAAAGCTGTGCTCTTGATCATATTTAATTACTGATGAAGGCTTTAAGACTTGTTTTTGCATATTGCATGGGACAACTTTCAGCTCTGTTTTTTACCTGTAGGATATGTGCAGTATGTGGTCACTCAGAATATAGATGGCCTTCATCTGCGGTCAGGACTGCAGCGTCAAAAATTGGCAGAGCTTCATGGTGACATGTTTGTTGATAAATGCAACTACTGTCATAGGTAAGTCATTATTAATCATAAAAGAAAGTTGATTATGTTCTATATATTGAACTCTGTACATTCAATAAGACTTATAAAGTATTCTGAATGTGCTGTACTGTAATGGTATAGAATGATGGTTGAAGCCATGGCAATATTAAGACATTATAAAGAATAATATCTGTTTATCAACATTATTAATTGTTTCTACCAGACAATTTGTAAGAAACACAGCAGCAACAACTGTTGGTCAGAAGAGTGAAGGCAAACCATGTCCAGGGAAGCGTGGGAATGGAAGGCGGTGCCGTGGGAAACTGCATGATAATGTGTTAGACTGGGAAGATGGCTTGCCAGATGCTGATCTTGACTTGGCTATTTCGCATGCATGGTAGGTAAATCAGGTCAATTATAAATTTGTTAAATTATCTTAAATTCATATTGATGCTTCTTTTAAGGAGTCAAATATATTAAAATTGATTAAGCAATGCTAATTTTCATCAGTTTCAACGCATATTTAGAAATACTGTTGTAACAGTACATTATATCCTGGCTAATCCATGATTCACCAAATTAAGGCCCATACATGTACACATCTTTCTACAGAGCTTATATAATTTATACTCACAATATAGAACGATACTTATCAGGAACAATTAACCAAACTTTAAAGTCAAAGCACATGACTTATTATGATGTGTCTCATCTTTGGCCTTTCATGGGGGATGAGAATTAAATAAACTGTTTATGAAAGAAGAGCATGACCCTCAACCAGAGTTTTAAAAATATATATGTAAAAAGCTTCCTAATACAGACAATCTGGTCCTAGAATGTAAATACTGTATGGATATTATTTGATGTCTGTGAGATTAGTTTTCTTTAGTAGTGTGGGTTTAAATAAGATTCTTGATACTACTGTACAGTATATGATCCCTCAGCCTTAAGCCTTTTAAGCCTTGTCTATTACTTGTAAGAGTTCATAGACCATAAATGGCTGTAGCATGAAATCCCAAAGTAGACAAAGTGAGTTACTTGGACGACATCCTTTCTCCCTGAAGCAAAATTTAAGATTCACAGAAACTGACTGAATCAGGACTTGTGAACCCATTTATGGCTGTAGCAGCTCTCAGCACATAAAATTCAAAGAATCCTGACTCAAAGCTTCCCTGTTCCCAAAACAACTGCTGAATCAGTGATTCAATGTAGTTCATCTGGGTTAGAGAGTTGTTTGCAGGGTAGATCATTGTCCACATGGATAATGTCTCTTGCTTATAAGTAATTAGGCTATGCCATGGAGCAATTACTATATTTTATGGTATACGTATTGTATAAGATGCATTAAAAAACAAAAACAAAAAACAAACCCTGCATCCAATACAGTAAACAGTACTGTATGAAGTTGTGGGTGTCCCACAGGCTAATGAAACCTCCAAATGCTGTCTTCATTAGGTTAATTTACCTAACCCAACTCGAGAATAAAAATACTGTTGTTCACTTAAACATATTATTATTATTAAATCATTGTTATTAACTTTAATTAAGTAACAAAAGGAATTAATGTAAATATGAAAGCTGGATAACCCGAGACGATTATTGTCCATACGGCACCCACCTCTGCAGAGCTAATCGATAACTGTTTCTAAACTCTTACAAACATTACTATCTATAAATGTTATACCTGCCACATTTATCTTATTATTTTTATTAGGGAACATCCTTTAGCTTTTGAAAGAAACTTGGAATTATGATGATAGCCATGAATAATGCCGACAGCTATAACCATTCGTTCGTAGTCTCGCTAGCACGTAATGCCATCTATTGGCGTGCAACAAGACTAGCATTCAGTTACCATTTCGTGTTTTTGTAATGCTTACCTTCGTATAGACACCTTAATACAATAAGTAACGATCATAACAACAACTTGGTAATAACATATCAACAAGGACAGAGCTAACAAAGTGAGTTTACAGTATTTTACCCTCATTTTAAGAACACTGTAGCCTCAGACTTATTGTATCACATTCAATATTATTAGGAGTAAACATTTAATGCTTAAATATACTAAATGTTTTTTCCTAAATATTCCCTGCTGAAATATATGACACATGCCCATGTGTCATATAAGCCATAAAATACATTGTGGTGAAGCTTGCAATAATTTTCTTATATCAGTTCTTCATTTTCTAATGTCTTCTTATGGTAAAAGTTTTGTATTACATACCTGATACCCCGTACTGTACTGTGATTATGTTTATTCAACAATAATGTACTGTAATACGTACTAATTATTACATTCAGGTTATCACCAGCATCATAGTAAACACCTTGAGCAGCAAGTTAATAATTGGATTTATGTGTCATAGTGGTGTACTTATCTACATGACAGACTTTTTATTTTAGTGATTGTGGTACTTTTGCAGTGCTGCTGATCTGAGCATCTGTTTAGGTACAACTCTTCAGATTGTCCCCAGTGGCAACATTCCTGTCGATACAAAGAAACGAGGGGGCAAACTGGTTATATGTAACCTTCAACCTACAAAGCAGGTAACTTTGATGAAATTCATTAAAATATAGAATAACATAAAATTGTTCATGTATGTATTTCTTAAATATATTTTTACTTGTACCTCAGACAAAGAAGGGAAGTAATTTTAAATGTAAGGTTCTCATAAGGAAAATTGTCACCAGTCTCCTCTGAAGCTGCAGCTCCTTCACATTTTAAAGGTGGATGCCCAGTTCCATTGTTTGAATCATTTAATTTATTTGAGAAAAAAAATGCTTTTTTATCATCACCGTGGAGGGAAATATCGTACACCTGCCTTTACCAATTAACCTATATTTTCTGGCGTATTCCTTTAGGCCAGGTGGCTCTTGTTATACAGGTTTCCATACTTGCCCCTGTACTGTATAGCAAGCTGGGGGAGATCTAAGAACCCATTTGGGTATCCCAGTCATCACTCCCAACCCATCACATCATCAACCTCAAGTGAAAGGAACTAGGTGCAACAGTTGCCCTTAAGAGGTAGATCTTATTTGAATGGTTCTATCCAATCAGCACACTTCATGCCAAGGTTACTGTTGACTTGCATTTGATTTCAAGATTAGACCACAATATTGAATTTTAGTTCTCAGTTAATTGCGATGGAGAACTGATACATCAGACTGGCTCTCACCCAACTGGTTATTTATGGTGCTATGAACGGTAAATGTTGAGCCCACTTGTCACACTGCACTGGTGGTTGGCATGGACTACCACAATACTAGGTGTTATCATGCAAGTAAGACTGATATAAGGATCTTCAAAATTGTTTATAAGGTTTGTGTGCCTTTTTTGGGGTCATCCATAATCTGCTAGTGTTTATGGTGGCAACTGGCCCTGTGACCCATACACACACACACACACACACACACACACACACACACACACACACACACACACACACACACACACACACACACACACACACACACACACACACACACACACACACACACACACACACACACACACACACACACACACACACACACACACACACACACACACACACACACACACACACACACACACACACACACACACACACACACACACACACACACACACACACACACACACACACACACACACACACACACACACACACACACACACACACACACACACACACACACACACACACACACACACACACACACACACACACACACACACACACACACACACACACACACACACACACACACACACACACACACACACACACACACACACACACACACACACACACACACACACACACACACACACACACACACACACACACACACACACACACACACACACACACACACACACACACACACACACACACACACACACACACACACACACACACACACACACACACACACACACACACACACACACACACACACACACACACACACACACACACACACACACACACACACACACACACACACACACACACACACACACACACACACACACACACACACACACACACACACACACACACACACACACACACACACACACACACACACACACACACACACACACACACACACACACACACACACACACACACACACACACACACACACACACACACACACACACACACACACACACACACACACACACACACACACACACACACACACACACACACACACACACACACACACACACACACACACACACACACACACACACACACACACACACACACACACACACACACACACACACACACACACACACACACACACACACACACACACACACACACACACACACACACACACACACACACACACACACACACACACACACACACACACACACACACACACACACACACACACACACACACACACACACACACACACACACACACACACACACACACACACACACACACACACACACACACACACACACACACACACACACACACACACACACACACACACACACACACACACACACACACACACACACACACACACACACACACACACACACACACACACACACACACACACACACACACACACACACACACACACACACACACACACACACACACACACACACACACACACACACACACACACACACACACACACACACACACACACACACACACACACACACACACACACACACACACACACACACACACACACACACACACACACACACACACACACACACACACACACACACACACACACACACACACACACACACACACACACACACACACACACACACACACACACACACACACACACACACACACACACACACACACACACACACACACACACAGGCCCTACTACCACCTGAGATCCCTTGTCCGAGAATTGCTGTTCGACACCACAACCGCATCCAGCCCATACGTGCACGAACTGATCGCTATAAGAACAGCCCAGTCCCAACCATTGTAAAAATTATCAATAACTTGTAATAAATCAGTGTATTCACTCCCAGTAAACACTGCTCCTTACACTGTCACTATGTTGAAATGAACTGTAGTTTGAGCTTTTCCCCATCTAAGTTATTATATGTCTTATTTGTGTCACTTATGTTACTTGTATATTATTTGTAATTCGTAACCCATTCCCCAAATATGTAACTGTATATTTTCAGCCTTCTGGCTGCCAAGCTCTTTCAATAAACCGTTAATTATTATTATTATTATTATTACACACACACACACACACACACACACACACATGTACCTCAGTTCACACAATTTGTGGATTTACATTGCAGGTGACAGGCCTCACCCCAGTACTCTTTACTGGTTTGGGTAGTTTTGTTCAGTGAGCTTCCTTTTGGCAAGCATGTCTGCGTGTTAAATTTCCTGTCAGTAATATATTTTTCTGGGGATTATTCATTCTTGAATCCCTAATGGGGTCTTCAGCAAGCTCAGATAGTTTGGGTCTGGTAGTGTAGTCTAGTCAGTATTCTGAGGTACTAATTCATGAATCCAAGGTTTTTCCTCACCCTGGTGAAAATAAACTGTGCCTTTGTATTAGAAAATGCATTCATTGGGTCAAATAAATGGTGACTTAATATTCCAGATGGAGATGGGTACATATTCAGTATGCTTCCAATGTAGTGATTGTTGTAAATTCCATTGTAGACGAACTTGGTCATGCTTAGTGCAAGTTTGTTATACAATACAGTATTCTAGTTTGACTTGGGAATTTAAATGGTGTTTTGCTGCATTATATAGGACGAATGGGGATGAATTTTGGTGACTGCACTAGTAGTTCTCTGTGTTTTAGCGTGATTTTGTTTTCTTTTAATTTAGGATCGTCATGCTGATCTGATTATCAACGCCTATGTTGATAATGTCATGAAGCACCTTCTAGAATTTTTGGACATCCCATTGCTTCAATATGACCCCAATGTGGACCCTATGAAATTGACACAAAAAATGTTACATGAGTATAGGAAGACCCACCCAGAAGATAATGATCAGAATGGCAAATTGGTGAGCTCTAACCATAATGGTTTTGAGCCCATAGAGTGGACCATACCAGAAGAGTGGGTAAGTGACAAAGAATTGGCAGAAAAAGTCAAAGTGAAGAAGGTAATAAGAAATAAAAGGCAGAGTAAGCATACAACAAATGATGGTGATATAAAATGCAGTAAGCAAGCAAAAATTAACTTAAAAAGTGAATTGCATACAGATAATTGTGGTAGTGAGAAAGAAGAAAGAGAACTTTACTGCAGTGGAAACACAGTGAATGATTTAAATAATTATGTAAAAAGTATGATCAAATGTGATGATTCAAAGTCATCATGGGAGCAAGTAGGAGAACTAAAGGAGGAAGCTCAAGAAATTAAAAATGAACATTCAGTTAGTAAAGCCCAAAATGGAACAAATTAATGAGAATAGAAATTTCATGTTTAAAGGAAAGTGTGCAGGGGAACCACAAAAATTAAGAGAAATCAGATTAAATAAAAAGTTTTTGGGCAATTTAAGCTAAAATGGCTCATTTATATAAGGATTGTGAGATTAGTTCTATTGTCATGCATAACTTCCCCAATAAGTCCTATTGACTGTGATAGACCAAATAAAACATGTCCTTTTAGACACATGATGAGACACAGTAGTGAAGATAGGAGATAGTTAAAGTACAGTAATGTAGTTCTCCAGTGGGTTTCTTCTATACTTACTAAAATAAATGAGTATATGCATCATCTTTCTGCCAGTAAATGAATAAAAAATTAATCTTATGTCATTCATACCAGGAATACTTGTAAATGCATTCAAGGTGTAGTTAAGAAATAATTAGTCAATTAAATAAAATCAATCATCAGAATAAAGAAGAATTTTAAGGTAATGTTTTTATGATAATAAAATAATTTTTTGGGCGGTTGAACAAATAAATTTTAAGCGTTTTCATATCCCACCAACTGGTTCAATTCAATAAAACAAACAGTACAGTATTAAGGAATTAGGTTCACTGGGGCCTTTGGGGTGTAAAGTGATTAACTCCAAATATTTCAAGAACAACTAACTTTATAAAGCACAAAAGATTTTATGTAGGTCTTCAAGGTGTGACCATTGTGATGTATTCTTATTGTCCCCTACATGACAGTGGGAGCAGGTTTCTATATATTCCATATACTATATATTGTATCAAAACAATGCTGAATCCCAAATTGTATGCATACTGTACTTTGTTCAGGCAAGTAAAATATTGTTTCTTGTGAGGACAGCTTGAGTTGAGGTCATGAACTCATAAAAGTGCAAGTTTTTGTCATCATCACTGTACTATATTTTGTACATTTAAGGGTAGGAATTTCAGCAGCTGAGGCAAAGAATTAGTAAAGTGGTAACTATTGGAATGCAATTGACAGTTCCTGTTCATAAAGTGTTAATACTAATGAACAGTACCATTTAAAAACAAATTTCTTCTTTACACAAGTCAGTTGTGTTGAGAGAAAGGCTATAGGATGGAAGATTGAAACTTTGTTTTGTAATGGTTATTATACCTAAAAAACTAAAATTTTATGTTGGCAGCAATTGTTCTGATTGTTTAATCCAGGACTTTAAACATTTGCTATATTGACATGTGGTTGATGGGCTGATAACTACCTATTATGATAGAAGATCTGGAAACGACCAAAACTAACCGAACTAAATATACAAATTCCTGCTTTAAGTCAACTAATAGCAGTGTGTTTAACTGCTTGATAACAAAACAATCAAAGCAATGGGTTCTCTTTCTTTTTTTAAAGTATAACAACCACTTTAGTTTTATATATACAGTGGGGTATGCTATAACGAATCTAATTGGTTCTAGAACCTTGTTCGTTATAGCATTCGTTCGTTATAGGATTAATCCGTTCCAGGCCCCCAAATACAACCACTTAACACTTAAAAATATAATATAAAATTGTAAAAATTGTAAAAAAGTGCATAAATATGCATCTAAACCCCTGAAATAAAGAATATCATTAATATTTGTAATAAAAAAACAATAAATTAGAAAAAAAAAAAAAATTAAATAATGTTCTTTGTAGGAGTTTCGTTCGTTATAGCATTCTCAATTTTATAGGTAAAACCGTTCGTTATAGGAATATTCGTAGTAGGATCCGTTCGTTATAGCATACCCCACTGTATACAATAAGTGTTTCTCATTAGGATGTGTCCAAAGATGTAGTCATTTTATTTACAAAACAATGATGTGTTGTATTTTAAATATTATTCATAGTATTAAAGCTCAAGACAGAGGCTACGGTAAGATTTTGTGAGTGAATAGAAGCACATATACAACATATACTGTATATGATACTGTACTGTACATGTACTTACAGTATATAGTTTCCAGTGATAATAATTTTCCTGTTTACCAATTTTTTTATGTTTAAATAATTTTTGTTGCTGAATTAGTGTACAGTATCTGTATGTAGAGTATATATCACATTTATTTTTTTCATGGTACTATACTGTATTATATATCAGAGGCTATGAAGTGTCATAATTTTCTTGTGTGTAAAGTTTTGTTAGCTCTATGAATTGAACTCCCAGTATCATTAGTTTCAGTATACTGTACTGTATAAATTGATAATTTCTTCATCCAGTATTACAATTATTTATGCTTTCTTGGTACAAATTCTAATTGTATTACAGTATCTGCAATTTTATTTGTTTATACATAACCTTTGAACTTAAGAAGAGCAGGAAGTAATTTTTTTAATTAAGTGAAATAGGTTAAGATAGAAATACAGTGGTCCCTTGATTAACGAACACAATTGGTTCCACAGAGTCGTTCGTTAACCGAAAATTTCGTTAACTGAATCTATTATTTCAATGGGATATTGAATTAATAGAATTAACAAAACATTAAATATGAACTAAATTCAGAACTGTACTGTACAGTATACTGTACAATAATAAATAAAAAACAATAGAAAACTGTATTTTAACTTACGTTGAGGTGTGTATGTCGTATTCCCGGCAACTTTGTTTACATATCAAACTGCTGATTGTAGAGGCAGTCGATGATGACATGCCATATTCTTCACAGAGTGTATTGTGTCTAATGCTTTCTTTGTGTTTCTTAATAATTTCTGCACTATATTATCAATATGTGAACTAAATTTCAGAATGACCAATAATTTTAATGTAAAAATGCAAAAATGTTCAAGAGATTAACAAACTGGATGTTCACTCCACTGTAAACAAAGTTAAACTGAGAAGCGTTGGTGGGTGACTTGATCAGCTGATTGGCACACAAAAACTGTTCCCTGTACTGCATATATTATCAATATGTTAACTAAATTAGAATGACCAATAATTTTAATATAAAAAATGCAAAAATATTCAAGAGACCAACTTTCTTGATATTTATTCCACTGGAAACGAATGTAAACATAGAACCAATTACTGTATTGGCGGACTAGCCGATCAGCTGATGCTCATGACTAAGCATGTTTTTTGTAAGGCTGTCGTCAGTTGAAGTTTTGTTCGTTAATGGAATTGAAAGTCCTTATGGGAGCTAATTTGTGAACCGAAATTTCGTTAATCGAGGGACCACTGTACTCTGTACAAGCATAACCATAGGTATTCACTACTCGTAATTACCCCAAATAATTAATTTACAATAACCATTTTAACAACGGAGTGGTGCTCTATCTTTAATCTATACGTACAATACTGCATTTGTTAAATTAATTGTATTGTATAGAGAGGTTGCATTGACATCACAAAACTCATGTGCTCAAATACACAGTTGCCTCCACATTGATGTACCACATCCTGGGAGTGTGTGAGGGTTCGGGTACGAGATGTGGCAATCCTTTGCCATAGGTAAGGCCAGGGCCGGATTCAGGAGTGGGCAAAGTGGGCAGCTGCCCAGGGGCCTCCACAATCTGGGGGCCTCCACATATTACAATATTTTATTTATTTGTTTATTCATTTGGATTGTTTTTATTTTCATTCTTTAAAATTCATGTTTATCTATTCCATCATGTAAAACTATGTTCAGCAAGAAGCGTGATAGAAATTAGGCTAGCTGCTCCTTGAAATTCATGAATACCTGGTTTTCCTATGAACCGTATATTTTTAATGAATGCTATTGTTTGTGTTGCTAATAATATATTTAGAATTCCACAAACATATATTGATTAAAAATGAACTACATGGAATAACGAAATTGAGATTAAAAAACAAATAAAATATATTTTTCATTATCACTTCCATTACGAATACCATCAGGGCGCTGTGTTTGTTGACAGTCGGTCGGAGGGGGTTGGGTCATGTAGTATCTGCACATCGGTTGTCATGAGTCTGTCGATTAAAGGGGAGACTTGCGTCGCCCATGAATTGTGAACTTCCCACGAGCAGACATAAACATGTCTTGCATATGTAAAATGAGAGAGAGAATTGTCATGTGTGCTTGTTGAGTGAAGTTGTCGCCGCTTAGTGATGAATGATCTTGTCAGGTGTCATTTCCTAGAACATGTCTTGCAAATGTACAGTGAGAGTGCGAGTGAGAGAGTCGATTGATGCTTGTGCTTGAGTGTGGGTGGGTGTGCTCTTAGAATATACGTTCACATATATAATTGTGCTTTAAGATACTACAGGTTGATTGGCTGCAAGTAAGTTGAGTTATTATTATGTATTTTGAGTACATTAACTATGTCAATGACGGTTTCTGTCAGTTTCACAATCAGTATATACAGTATAACACAGTATAGTCAATGGTGAAAAGGAGGCGAACCGACGGCGAGCTTTAGGGGTGGGACTGGGAGAAGTCAGAGGGAGAGGTCATAATCTTACCCAAAATTCCAAATTTTAAAAATATGCTGGCATCCAAATGTTCCAGGGAGTTAAGTAATCAGTTAACCTCTCCGGAACTCCCAGATGTTTAGGCTCGCTTCACTCGCCACCCCACCCTCATGGGTAGCTATAATGAGGGGGGCCTCCACAAAGAGGCTGCCCATGGGCCTCCACAGGTTTAAATCCGGCACTGGTGTGATTACCCTGTTTGCAATAAGATACATACAGTAAAGGAGGCAAACAGATAAACAAACCCTGTAATAAGTGTTATGCAGCAATGTTGTGTAGCCACAACGGAGTGACTAAGACTGAATTATGGGTACCGGCAAATGGGGTAATCCACGGAATCACGCCCATGACTACGGCGCTACATTGCCATATCTTGTAAATGTACCCCCACTCACACCTAGGCCATGGTATGTTCATGTGGAGGCAACTGTACATTTATTGGGTTGAATGGAGGATCCCAAATGCAGGTGAACAATGCTGTAAGTCATAATTATAACTTTTTGATTGTGCTAAGTAATTAGAATTTGTTGCAAAACATTGCTACCAAAATAACATTAGGTTGGCAGGACATATACGGTATAGGTCCACCAGTAAGTGAGCTCAGTCTGACTTACTAGGACTTGTAAATATTATCTTTTGCATCAGAACCAAAGTTTTTATGAGCCAAACAATAAAAGGATAACAGAGTTTGGATCTGTAAAAATGTTTTACGGCTGGATATGTAAATGACATCTCATAGTTTCCCAGCCCCAATCAAAAGCATGTCATTAATAACTGGTAGGTGAGGATACCAGGCCTTTATAATTTATGGTTTAATTAATAACTTCTTTAGATCTTTAAACTGACAATAAAACTAATGTGCATAATACAGGTAATTACTGTATTATGGACATGCCTTCAGGAAAAAAAATATACTTCCTATTTATTTTCCAACAATAATCTTAACTTATGCTGCTTACTTCTATTGTTCAATGTAGTAATTTATACCGTTAAGAGTTTCCAGAGGTAAAAATTTAGATGATGAAAATAAGAAATTAAAGGAATGTAGGTATAAAAAGGATAGGAAAATTGTGTTTTCATCATTAATCATCCACTTTTAGGTGAAGCCTTATACTACAGCACTTGAACTCTTGTGAAAGAGGATTGTTACACAGGTACTCTCTCAAAAAAGTAGAAAGTTTACTATTGTGTTGGGTTTGCAGTAACTAGGCTTGTAGTAATTAAAGAAGAAATGGTTGAATTATTGGTCTGCTTAAAACATCTTTGACTTAAGCTTCTAAGAACAGTACAATCAGTAGCGGCTCGTCGGTAGGCACTGTGGAACTGCAGCACCCCTATTTCACCCGATATATATGTATTATATAATATAATACAGGTAGTCCCCGACTTACGACTGCATGGACTTACGACCGTCGGGACTTACGACCGCCGCAGTTGTGACCATTTTTTTTTTTCCCCCAAATGAGACACGCATTTTCTATACCGAAACGTTTCCGGTTAATGTAGTCTCCATGTATAATTAGATAATTATGGGGGCCCCATGTGCATTCAGCTGACTACATTAAAGGTAAGTGCTCAGTCACACTGTATCCATTCCTCATTATTTATTACTTTTACTGTACTGTATTTCATTGTAGATTTTTTATTTAAAAAAAAAATATTTTTTTGTTTTTGTTTTATCTGTCGGACTTACGGCCATTAGTACTTACAACCTGGATTTGGGTCCCTAACCCCGTCGTAAGTCGGGGAGCACCTGTATATGATATATGTTTATTTATTTATACTTGTACTGTACAAGATATTTAAAACTATTATCAATAATCCTTAAACTTAATGTCAATGGCCATCCTCTAATTCCGAGAAAACAAAAAAAATCTCTGTATGTGGAACTGTCTTACTCGACAGTTCCAATAACGGGCGTTTGCTTTGTCGCACGCATGCGCTCATGTCCTGGAGGCAAGCGGGGGCGAGCACTGTGGTTCACGCAGTGACGATCTGGTTATCAGTGTGTGAGGTAGGGTTTACGCATCATCCGGTG